TTTCTTCACTTATAAAAAGGAGAAAACAATTTCTCACTGACGGGATGGATGGGAGGGTTTCAGTGATAAAGCACCCAAGCACCAAAACGCTTGGTTCCTCTTTTTGGTCTCTGCATTTAGGGGCCCATGACCCATGTTGCCTGGGTCCATGGGGGGAGAGGAAGCTTGGATACAGTGTTCTAGGAACCTCCTACTTGGGTAGGTTTCTTATTTGTGTCAGGACCATTCTCCTTAACTCCATCCTTAATTTCTGCCATGGGCACCACTGGTCTCCATTCACCCAGCCTTCAGATAAGCTAACAACAATGTTATCTCTGGCTACCAGGCACTTTGGGGCATGATTCATTTGCTGGGCAGGTTTGGCTTCTGGGTGGGCCCAGGTTTAGATAGACATCTGAAGACTGGGGCCGTGCCCTGGCTCATAGTAGATGCTCACTGAGTGCTCATGGGATGTACCATGGAGGAAACAGAACCGGGATGGGAGGCCGGGGGAAGAGAGCTTTGCAGGTGGTGAGACAAGAACTTTATATAAAATAAGGGCGAATGGATGTGGACCTGGGGCTCATGTTTGGCTGTGTGGCAGGGAACCATGCTGCCCCGGGAGTTAGGAGGCCTGGCTTCTCACTGTGCTTTTGGGGAAATCACTTATGAGCCTTCAGACAACTCTGTCAAGTGGGGATGCTAATGCTTTTTAAGCTGTGAAGTGAGATATGTATCACCATGGCCACCACCACTTACATGGCAGACTGGATTTGAGCTTTTTGGTTTGTCTCCATATGATGCCAACGAATGACTGAACATGGAATAATGGAAAATTCTTGGAGGACTATGGTGGCCCTTTGCATAATAAGGAGACATAAAGTGGATGGCACCTTTATTTTAATGTCCTCAGATTGCTTACGATCACGTCGGTTTGGCATACTGTGGTGGCATGTAAATGTACTGAGACAGAGTCCAGCAGGGTCACTCATGGGACAGGTGTCAGTGATGTTTCCCAAGGAAGACAGATGAGGAAGAAAGGCTTGGTGATCTACTTCTGAAAATTACCTAATGAGAACCCCATGGATCACAGCAGAATAGTGTCTGCTGTATGCTGCAGGATGAGTCCCTAGACCAGTGGTTCTCAACCTGTGGGTCGTGACACCTTTGAGGGTTGGATGACCCTTTGACAGGGATTGTCTGATTCATAACAGTAGCAAAATTACAGTGATGAGGTAGCAACAAAAATAATTTTATGATGGGGGGTCACCACAACATGAGCAACTGTACTGAAGGGTCATGGCATTAGGAAGGTTGAGAACCACTGGCCTAGAATGAAAGGCACTCACAGTGCACAGTGTCCACAACCAGGGAGTCCAGCAGACCAACGAGTGAGGAGATGGGGCAGGACTGGGTGACACTTTGCTCTATTGTATGTCTGGTCGTCAGGGGCCAGAGCAGACTGTACAGCCACTAGGACCAAAGCCAGAGCTGCTCAAATAGCACTTACCAGACACTTATGAAACATCTGGGGAACTGGACTGATCCAGAGGAGCCTGGTGATCTTTTTTGTTTGTTTGTTTTAATCACTTTATTAGGGGCTCATACAACTCATCACAATCCATACATACATCAATTGTGTAAAGCACATTTGTTCATTCATTGCCCTCATCATTCTCAAAACATTAGCTCTCCACTTAAGTCCTTGGTATCAGCTCCTCATTTTTCCCTTCCCTCCCTGCTCCCCCTTCCCTCATGAACCCTTGATAATTTATAAATTATTATTTTGTCATATCTTGCACTGTCCGAAGGCTCCCTTCACCCACTTTTCTGTTGTCCGTCCCCACAGGAGGAGGTTATATGCAGATCCTTGTAATCGGTTCCCCCTTTCTACCCCACCCTCCCTCCAACCTCCTGGTATTGCCACTCGCATCACTGGTCCCAAAGGGATCATCCGTCCTGGATTCCCTGTATTTTCAGTTCCTATCTGTACCAGTGTACATACTCTGGTCTAGCCAGATTTGTAAGGTAGAATTGGGATCATGATAGTGCGGGTGGTGGTGGTGGGGA